AATCTTTTAATTTATCTTTTTTTGTGTGTGTGTGAATTCTTAGGAACTACACTTGAGAAAGTGTATCCTTTGTCATCTGGATGCAAAGTATGTATCCAGAAGATTGAGCTTTGTTTTAAAACATATATTTATGATGGTGAAATACATGTAACATAAAACGTGTAATTCTAACTTTAATTTTTCCATATTGGGTACTAAACCCAGGTTGCTTTACCACTGAGCTACACCCCTGGGCTTTTTAATTTTATCTTGAGACAGAGTCCTAAGTTGTCCAGGCTATACTCAAACTTGTGATCCTCCTGCCTCAATCACCCAAGTCTTTGGGATTATAGGCACGTGCCACCAGACTGAGCAATCTGACCATTTTTAAGTATACAATTCAGTAGCATTAATTACAATCACAATCTTGTACAACTATCACCACTATTGCTTTCCAAAACTTTTTCTTCACCCCAAACAGAAACTCTCTAACCATTAAGCAATAACTCCCCATCCACTTGATAAACTCTTACCTATTTTTTTTTTCTACAGATTTGTCTGTTCTGGACATTTCATGAGTGAAATCATACAGTATTTTTTCTTTTTGTGTCTATATTTTTTTTAGTCAGCATAATGTTTTCAAGGTTAATTCATATTGTAATATGTATCAGAATTTCACTCCTTTTTATGCCCAGAGATGGTACCGTTGTATTATATACTACATTTTGTTTATCTGTTTATTTGTGCAAGGACATCTGGGTTGGTTTCACCTTAGGCAGTATTATTGAAAAAGGTTTCTATATGAACATCATCATACAAGGATCTTATGAGTCGCTGTGCTGACATCTTTTGGGTATATGCCTGTGAGCAGAACTACTAAGTCATATGCTAATTCCATCTTTGGTTTTTGAAGAATTGCTCATCTATCTTTCACAGAAACTGCACCATTTTACATTTCCATCAGCAGTGTGTGAGTGCTGCCATTTTTTCACATTCTCATCAACATTTATTTTCTTTTCAATTACAGCCATCCTAATAGGCATGAGGTGGTATCTCACTGTGATTTTGGTTTGCATTTCCCTAATTACTAATGATATTGATCATCTCTTCATGTGTTCTTATTGGCTATATGAATATCTTTGGATAAATGTCTATTCACATCATCCACTTTTAAATTGTCTTTTTGTTGTTGAGTTCAGGAGTTCTTTAAATATTCTGAATATTAAACACTTATTAGATATATGACTTGCAATTATTTCTCCCATAGTGTTAATTGTCTTTTTACTTTCTTGATAATATTCTTTTATACACAAAATCTTTTATCTATTTTTCCTATTTTTCTTCTATTGTTCGTGATTTTAGTATCATATTTAAGAATCCCTTACTCAATCCTAAGCCATGAAGTTTTACCTGTTTTTTTTTCCCTAAGAGTTGGATAGTTTGAATGCTTATATTTAGGTTAAATTTTTGTTATGGGATGAGGTCAAAGGAAAGTCCAACAACATTCCTTTGCATGTAGAAATTGAATTGTTCTAGCACACTAAAAAAATCTATTTTACTTATCACCCTATATTTAGGTTCCCTACAGCCTTCTTGGTTTGTCTTAGGCTAAGAGTGGCAGGTTAAGCAGTACCATGATGAGCAATATGGGGACCTGAGGCAAAAGGAAAAATCAGTAATGTTGGGGATGGGAAAGACAGTAGAATGTATCCGAAATAACTTTTCTCTGCTTGTATATGAAGACATGACCAGTGTAACTCCATATCATGTCCCATAAAAATGGGATTCTAATTAGAATAAATTATATTCCATGTATACATATGTTTTAGTCAGCTTTTTCACTGCTGGGACTAAAAGACCTGACCAGAACAATTATAAGAAGAAAAGTTTATTTGGGGGCTCATAGTTTCAGAGGTCTCAATCCACGACAGCAGACTTCATTACTGGGGGCTCCAGGTGAGGCTGGTCATCATGGCAGAAGAGTGTGGCAAAGGGAAGCAGCTCACACGATGATCAGAGAGAGAGGTTTCCACTTGCCAGATACAAATATATACCCCAAAGCCATGCCCCCAATTCCCACCTCCTCCAGCTACCTACCACTTCAGTTAATTCCTATCGGGGATTAATTCACTGATGGGGTTAAGACTCTCACAACCCAATCATTTCCCCTCTGAACCCTATCACATTGTCTCACATGTGAGCTTTTAAGGGACACCTCACATCCAAACCATAATGGTATAATATGTCAAAATACACTCTACTGACATGGGTATCTAAAAAGAAAAAATAAAAAATCAGTAATACTGATTCTGTCTTTATACAAAATTTTCACATCATTCATTGTGGGGGTTTTTTTGCATTAATTCTTTTAAACTATTGCATTAAAATATTTTTCCTGAGTTTTCATCATCCCCTTAAATTGTCTGCCCCCCAAAAGAGCACCTCATCCTTTCTTTCACCTGAAATCCCAACTCTAGGTGAAAGGTTCCTATAATTAGTATATTTCTGCATATTTCTCTTTGCAGCTCATGAAGCTTTGCTTTTTTGAAATGGTTATTATGTATTTGCATTAAAATATTAATAATTGTTATATTTTTGCTATGAATTGTGGCTTTTAGTATTGTCTTGTTTAAGATTTTTTTGCCTGGATTCTACTTTGTCTGATATCAGGATCACAAACTATAGATGATAGCTGAGATTCTAACAAGTTCCCCAGATTGTTAATAATGAAACTGAAGCCCAAGAACTTTGGCAGCAGCCAAAATAATTATGGTCATTAAGTTGAAAATGTAGCGTACTTTAATTCTAGGAATTGATACTATAACAAAAGCTTCAGTATGCTTTAATGTGGAATTGATATCATTCTGAAATTGTATATATAAAAATTACAGTGAATACCATTATCATGTTCAAGCAGGGAATGGGCCACAAAACCTACCAAGGGTTTGGGATGGTTAGGTTTGGGTAACCTCTGGACTGAATGGTGTCTCTGTTAGGGTTTAGGTAACCTTTGGAGTAAAGGTAACTCACATAAATTTGAAGGATGTGAGCCGAAAGAAGGCCAATCAATTTAAGAAGAATGATTCAACCTATATATTTGTATCTGGCAAGTGGAGATCTCTTTCTCTGCTTCCTGATCATCATGTGAACTGCTTCCCTTTGCCACACTCTTCTGCCATGATGGTCAGCCTCACCTGGAGCCCCCAGAAATGAAGTATACTGTCTGTGGATTGAGACCTCTGAAACTGTGAGGCCCCAAATAAACTTTTCCTCTTACAATTATTCTGGTTACGTCTTTTAGTCCCAGCAGGGAAATTTCCTTTTAATTTTTAAGATCCTGGGGTCCCTTTTTGAGCTACTAGAAATTTTATGAGTGAAGAATGGAGCTGTTCTGTTGTACTATATAGAACAGAGTCTCCTTATAATACTCTATTGAGGTTCTTGCCATAATGTTACAGGGTAGTCCCCCTTTTTATTTGTGGGAGATACCTTCCAACACCCCCAGTGGATGCCTGATCAGGGATATTATCAAACCCTATGGATATTATGTTTTTTTCCTATGACAAAATTTAATTTAGACAGGCTGAGGCTGTGACTCAGTGGCAGAGCACTTGTGTGGCATGTGTAGGGTGCTGGGTTTGATCCTTAGTACCACATAAAAATAAAGTCAAGTTGTTCATTGACAACTACAAAACATTTTTTTATTGCATATTACTTATTATTTGAGAAATTTAGACAATTCCACAATGTTGGTTTTGCTTGAACCATCTTTAACCAGGTAACAACATAAACCACAACAAAGTCTTGTAAGAACACGATACGCTATTTTTAAAAAGTCACAATTGACATTGTGCTTGGTATCTAATACATTTTGTAAACTCACTTACTTCCACCACTCACTACTGAATCTGTAGTGCAGATCTCATTTTCAAGTCAATTATTACCACAACAGTTCCTCTATAAACAGACTGGATAGCTCCCACTATCTGACATAGCCATGAGTGGCTTTAATGATAAAGATTTAGTTTAAAGGATTGTTCTTTAAAATTTAATTTATAAATAAGATACAGTAAGAAGTTAACAGCTAATAACAAATTATAAAATTTATTGTAGTATACTGTAATAAAAGTTATATGAATATTGTCAAAACATCTTATGGTACTGTATTCATCCTTGTGATAGTACAATGCCTATGTAATGAGATAAAGTGAAGTGAATGGCATAGGCATTGTAATGCTATATTGGGCTATTAAGAGTTAAGTTGAGCACAAACACTGTGATACCATGATATTTGATCTGATAACCACAACAGCTACTCAGTGACTAATGGGTGGGTATTATATATACCATGGATACACTGGGCAGCAGGATTCATGTCCCAGGTAGGATGAAGTGGGATGGTATGAGATTTCATCACACTACTCAGAATAGGGTGCAACTTAAGACTTATGAATCCTACAGAATAAATTTATGGTTCTATTTCATTTTCTTTTTTTAAAATTTTTATTATTAGTTGTTCAAAATATTACATAGAACCATAAATTTATTCTGTAGCCTCAAAAAGGATTCACTCTACCAGTGATTTGCCATATAATACCAGGTTGAAGGAAGGAACCAAAATATCAATGTGAAAGGTAAGAGAGAGATACATATTTTAAAACTATATTTATTTTTATATTTATTTACAACTTTACCAAGCAAGCAAAAAATATTTTTTGCAGCACTAGTAGTAAATGGTACCACAAAAAAAATAAAGCAATAAAATCTTTTTGTAGGTGAAAATGTAATAAACTGCCAGGTACAGTGGTGCATACCTGTAATCCTACTGACTCAAAAGGCTGAGGAAGAAGGATCCCAAGTTCAAAGCCAGCTTCAGCAATTTAGCAAGGCCCTAAGGAACTTAGTAAAACCCTGTTTCAAAGATAAATAAATAAATAAATAAATAGGCATGGCTCAATTGTTAACCTCTTCTTGGTTCAATTTCTGGTACCAAAAACAAAATAATAAAAGAAAGGAAAATGTAAAATACTTATGAATCCTTTATTTCTGGGTGTTTCTATTCAATATTTAAGAACTACCGTTGACCACAGGCAACTAGAACCATGGAAAATGAAACGGTGGAAAAAAAGTGGACAACTGTAGTCTTTAATCAGCCTGGCTTCATTCAAGCAGTACCGTGGCACTCAAGGCTGCCTTCTTACTTTTCTTCTAAGTAATTCTTGCATCTCTGTGTTTGAGCATCTAGGGAGGTAAAACTGAAGAAGGGTGGAAATAAAATATGGCTCAATTTTGGCCTTACCTACCCCTGCCTAATGCATTCATGCTTCTTTCTGTACATCTTGTTAGTGAATGGGAAGAAATAAAGCACATTGGCCCAGCAGGTTTTCTTCCCTTTGTCTCCCTCTGAAGTACTCAAAGGCATCAATAACAGAGTAGGAAAGCCCTGGTTGAACAGAAGTTAGTCTTTTCCTTTGATACCTTCCATTGGGAGCCTTCATACAATGCATTTGAGAGTACTTTTTCAGCACACTCCTGCTCCAGGCAAACATTGAGAAAACTATTGAGAAGGCCTCAATGGAAAGGATCCAATCTGCCCCAGAAACTGCCCTAGTTCTCTATTAGGAGAGTCACCAGCAGTGGAAGAGAACACCCCACCCCATTTTTTTCTTTTTCCTTTTCTCCTCCTTTCTGTTGTAAGAATTGTGGGAACTCTCCTTAAATGAAAAAAAGAAATTAAAACAAAAACAAAAACACCTCTCAAGCTGGGTTTTGTTTTCTAAAGTGGATTAACGCCTAGATGTCTCTCATCCATTTTGTAAAACTAGTGTCTCAACTTTAGATTATAACTAACTTATTTGGGACAAATGTTTGAATTCAAGGAGAAATAAATGCTAGGTGTCATGTGTATGGGTTTTTTTTTTTTTAAGCACTTTTAAAAAAGCATCATCAACTTACTTCTAGGGGGCCTTTGTCCCTACTTGCTGATGGTGGCTTGTAGGCCTGCTCCAGCAAAGCTCCAGATCACATGTGCTTTAGTATTCTACCTCTTGACAACACCCTGTGCTTGATTTCAATGGAACTGCATTAGTTCTGAACCCCTGAGCATCTACCACTTTTTAGAAACTATGCTAAGTTAATTTCTACTTAGAGCTGAAATATAAACAAATGCTTAAGAAGGTGATGCCAAGAGAATAGAATCTCTCTTTGGCTGCCTTCTTTTCCCAATCATTGAAGTGAGCCTCGTTGGAGACAAAGGAACAGATATTCAAGGAAACTGAAAGCATGAAGAAGTGGGAAAGTGTGAACATTGCTTAGAGAGGTGCAGAGTCCTGGAGCCAGGCTGGTCTGGGGCCCACAGAGGCCTGTCTGCTCTTCCCTAGTTTCCCGCAGATCCTGACTGCCCAGTTCTAGAAAGACATTCAAACTTTCAGTGATGTTGTGACCTTCACTTAACTTCTTTCCTTCTATGAAAAGGAAGGAGTTCTTCCTAGATCTAAATTTCTGTAATTTTCTGATCATTTACATTTCATTTTAACTGCAAAGCCAGGCTACTGAAAAACTTATATGAGAGCTGTATCAGGGTCTAAAGGAAAAAAGTACCCTGATTCTAGGAGTCAATGAAAACCATTAGTGACATTTTAGAGTGTTTTCTTTCAGTCTTTTTTTCGTGTATGTAGCGTCTACCTCCCATATTGGCAGCCTTCATGCCTGTGGATTAAGCCACCTGCAGGTAGAAAATATTCCAAATAAATAAATAAATAACATCTGTACTGAACAGGTACAGACTATTTCCATGTAATTATTCCCTAAACAATATGGTATAACAACTATTTACATAACTTTAAATTGTATTAGGCAACATGAGTAATCTAGAGATGACTGAAAGTATCTGAGGAGGATGTACACAGTTACATGCAAAAACCGCACCCTTTTAGATAAGGAACTTGAGCATCTGTGGATTTGAGTATTTTCAGGGGGTTCTGGAACGAATTCCTCATGGATACTCAGAGACAACTGCAGAATTAGATTTGTGTGTGTTTGGAATATTATATCTACTGAGGTTATCTTGAACATTTGCCTATGTCGTTTAATATAAACTAAAAAGTAAATATATGTGAAGCTATTAGATGATCATATTATGTGTATTATATTTATTTAATGAATACCCCATTGCTATCTAGTTAAATGTTTTGCTATGATAGATGATGTTGCCATGAATATCCTTGCATGTAAATTTTTGTGCATGTCTCTACTTATTCCCTTAGTCTATAAGCCTAGTAGGAGAATTACTGAGTCAAGGTATACTAATATTTTCAAGGTGCTTAGTACATATAGCCATATTATACTCTAGTGCCATGTGAGTGCCCAATTTGCAGAATCCATACCAATACTGAATATTAAACTGTCTTTTGATAGTTTTAAATGATATCTCATTTACTTTTTATCTTTTATAATTGTCCATGTGATTGATAGTTTTTATGTGTTATTCAATTGTTTAAATTCTTCTGCTAAAATTATTCTGTGTGTTTTACTCATCCTTCCATTAGGGTTTTTGGTGTTAGTGATCTTTAAGAACTCTAAAATTCTGTAATTTTAAAGTATAAACTGAGTTACCAAAACACTTTAATTTTTAATGAAGCTACAATAGCCAGTCTCCTTTTATAATGTAACCCTGTTATCATTTTCCAACCCTTGGCACTGAGCTATACATACTCAAGAGGCTGCATAAATGCTTTTTAATGAGAGAATGAACCATTATCTAAATATGTCATGGATGTACAATGTTGGTTACTAAAGCTAAAAAGAAAATTTTTAGTCCATTAGGAGATATATAAGGAAAGCTTTTGTTAATGAATTTTCCTAGGAAAGGAGGCTGGAAGATTAAAAAAAAAAACAACTGTTTTCTTTGTATGTGACCTTATGTTGTTAGAGCATCACAGAGGACAAGAGAAAAGTACAGCTTAGATTGTTTTTTCAAATTAAGTGATATTTTACACATGCAATATGTAAATAGAACAAAATAAGAAAACAATTATCAAATAATAATGTGTAGTTATATTTTTTCTGATCATTTTTTAAAGAAATAAAATATGACAGAATAGTTGAAGCCACCTGCCCTCCCTTACTCCCCTTCCCCACTAGAAGTAGCTATTATTCTGAATAAGGTGTTTATTCCTTGACTGCATGTTTTATCCTCTTATAACATAGACATGTATCTATAAGCAACATGGAATATTAGGTCACATTTTTAAACCTTTTACAAATGATATCATACTATAAATTTCCTATTGCAATCTTTCATTTCTCATGCACTATTATATTTTCAAAATCAATTCATTTTAATAATATTCTATACTCTGGAAATTTCACTTCTTATTTATTCTGTCCCACTCATTATCATTCCAATATTTGTCTCTTGCAAACATTGCCACCATGAATATTGTAGACCATGTCCCCTTGGGCACATATTCTCTAGGGTGGTTATGGAATTAGTCATAGGAAGGTGCATCCCCTCCTTTTCTAGAAAGTGCCAAATTTCTTTTCATGTTTTTAAGGTATTATGTAGATACTTGAGTTTTCCCCAAGGACATTTTGCATAATTTTTACTAGTTGATATTTTTAAGTGCTGGTGGGTCAAGAACTATTCGAATGGTTTTATGTGATTCAACACATTTGATCCTTACCTATTTGTTGTATAAACAAGGAAACTGAGAAATAAAGGACTTGAGCATCTTTCCCAAGGTTACACAGCAAGTGACAGAGCTCATTCAAGTGCAGGTAGTGTTGTTCTCAAGCTGTTATCTGTTCACCGTAGGCTATGTTCCAAGTGCTAGAAAGACACCAGCCACACTAAGTTGATAGTGGTACAAAGACACCAGCTATTTAGCTTACAAGAAATCTCTAAAGAAAGGAAATGGCCTTCCTAGCCTATTGTTGGTCTGTAGTTAGGAAGAACAACCAGATGGTTGCTTCATTTGTCCAAGCTCTACCAATCAGCGACTGACAGAAGATTATATTCCAGGCTCCATTTGCAGCCTGCTAGCCATGTTTGTTGTCAATGTCTCTTTCCACCTGTGTGTTCATGAAGATACATTAGGTCTGTCTTCATGCACTTTTAATTTCTTTGAGTCTAGGGTAGAAGACTTGCAATAGAAAGGTCAAATAAATTTTTTAGGAGCAGTAATGGATATAATCTTGTACATGTACACTTTAATTGCAACACTTTAATCCCCATTCTAAGTGCCAAACTTTCAGGATTAATTTGTTGCATCTGTTGGTAACACAGTACTCCGTCTTCTGACCAGATTCTTGCCCAAGGGCCCTCATTTACTAATGAGTAATCGCTGCAATTTTCAGAGAAAATGCTACTGGTACAATCATGTTTGAACATTCATCAAATATGACGCGAGCCCGGTTAGGAGAAATGTTTGCGTCCTTAGCCTGCAAATAAGGGCATAGAATTAAATGTCTCCACGCTATAATTTTCCTAGGCTTATTACTTCCATCAGTGTTTGGAACGGTTGATGATAAAACTCTTCATGGTTTTACAGCTCAGTTGATAGGACCATGTCTCGAGTCAGTCTTACCAAATGACTCACTGCTGTCTTACTTCCATTGGTCTTCTATTATTCAGGCCCATTTTGGAAAGAGATGGCAGAGAGGGAAAAGGAAGTTATTGCAGCAGGAATGCATTTCTCTTTGTACACACATCATAGACACACGGCACTGACAAACTAATTATAGCTTTAGCTCAAACATTTCCTCTTTCTGCATGTTGTTTGCAAACAGCCAATTATTTCCATCCTGCATTGGAAAAAAACACAAACCAAAGTGGGCTAATCGGTAGTTTCTGGAAAGTCCAGCTGTCCACCTATCTCCTCTGTTTTGGTTTCATTTTTTTTTTTCAGGTGGGTTTCTAATTCCTCTTCCTTCCCCACCTTGTTATTATATTCTAAATCTTTCTCACCTGCTTTGGACTGGTGGCTGAAGTTCAGTGGTTATGTTATCTTACCTGTGTTCCTCCTTGCTTACTCTGGAATGTACTGAGAGAAACAGTCAACACAGCCAAATACCCATTCCTTCCTCAAGACTACACTGACGTCGAACCCATTGCTTACATAACACATCTGTGTACTAGTCACCAGGAAGATGGCGCAGAATGTGTAAATGAAAAGGCCCTGGGTTTAAAGAATTTTAGGATTGACTGAGTTGATGAGAGAATGAATGGGTGCTTTGAGGTCACCTGAACTGCGAGAAGGACTAAGTTCTAAAGTTGAAATGAGAGCAAAGTTCTAAAGCAGCAAAACCAGAAACAGTTGCAAGAGTGGAATAAAAAACCCATACTTCTGTGCAGAAACTTTTTAATTCAATGTATTCCCATTTATCTATTTTTGCTTTTGTTTCCTGTACTTTGGGGTTCATACCCTCCCCAAATCATTGCCTATATCAATGCCCTCAAATGTTTTCCTCTGATAGTTTAGAATCTTAAATTTATGTCTCTCTCTCTCTCTCTCTCTCTTTCTTTATTTCTTTCTTTTTCTTTCTTTCTGAAGCAAATTAGAGATATGGGTCAAGTTTCTATCCTCTGCATATGGATATATAATTTTCCAGCACCATTTATTGAAGAGGTACATTTTTGGTGCCTTTGTTAACAATCAGTTGGTTGCAGATTCTAGGTGCCTATTAAAGGATGAATGAATAAAGAAAATGTGGCACACATATACAATGGAGTATTATTCAGCCAAAAAGAAGAATAAAATCCCATCATTTACAGCAAAATGAATAGAACTAGGGGATATTATATTATGTTGAGTAGAACAAGCCAGACACAGAATGACAAGTATCACATGTTATCTTTTATATGGAAGTTTAAAGAAATAATAAAGTCAACTTCAATATAGAATAGAAATTGGGAAGTAGAGAGAGGAAGGGTAGATAATGGGAGTCTGGATTTGATCAGTGTGTGCTGTATGCATCTACTGAAGTATCACACTGAACCCAATTAATATGTGATAATTAATACATTTTAATAAAAATAAAATGAGAAGTAAGAAAATGGATGATTAAAGCAAAAACAAAACAAAACAAAACAAAAAAACCCTCAACACTGCAGTAGATTGCCAGAACTTATTCTTCTTGTTTAATTCAACCTTTGTACTCTTTGAAGCCATATCAAGCCAGGTGTGGTAGTAGTATATACCTATAGTCCCAGCTCCTCAGGAGGTTGAGGCAGGAGGATTGCTTGAGCCCAAGTATTCGGGGTCAGCCTAGGTAACACAGTTCGACCCCATCTCAATGATGATGATGATGATGATGATGATGATGGTGGCAAGAGGCAATATGTTTAAAAATATTTGCTCATCCCTTAGAACACAGAAAAAGAAAGACTGCAGGAAAAATTCTTGTAAAGTCATTTGGTAAAGTGAAATCAGGAGGTAAAATTACATTATGGAAAGAGGCCCACCTATCCTGTCTTCCAAAAACAGAGAGCATTGAGCCACAGGAGGATGGTGGGTAAGACCAGGTACACAGCTTTGAGGTCTCCTGAATGGAAAAAGAACAAAGTTTTAAAGCAATAAAAACAGAAAGAGCTGCAAGAGTGGGATTAAAAATTTATACTAGAGTTAGTTGATCATCACAACTGAAATTAACTCAACAGACTTTTCTTGAAAACTTCTGCATTCATGCCATGCTCAGAACGGGAGACACAAAGATGGGAAAGGCCCCTGCTTCTTAGACATGTTGGTGACAGATATAAAATTATCAAAAAGCACAGGGGTTCTTACAAAGATAAGAGCAGATTGGTGGGGACCCAAGAAAGCAGCTCACTCTGCCTGGGACAGTTGGAGAAGATCCAACATGGTGGATGGGGGATATGGGTCTTTTTGTTCTCACAAGAGAAACCAATGGAAACTAAGAGCCTTTCTATTCACTGAGGACATGATGTATCTAATAGCTGTCTTCTCCCTCGAGGCTAAGCAGACCTTGAAGAAAAAAAATATTTTTGCCTCAATTCTAAACAGTGTTTGGGATGAGTTTAGAAGCCTAGATTACTTAGGAGTGATATGCTAAAAAATCTAGACTGATTTTTCTGGTTCGGCTTTTGTTATGAAGGCAGCCGTGATCTCTTAATCTTATAAACAATCAAACCAGCTAATGGTATAGTCAGTAAGCATGCATTGGGGAGCCAGAGTGCCCATCCAACAGTGGGCAGTAGTAATTTGTTGAGAGAAACACGACAAGGAGGAAAGAAATTATTGTCATCTTTTGTTCCAGTTACCTTGAGTTGCTTAAGCTTCAAGTAGGACTGATCAGAGCCTCCCCAAGGACACTACCCTGTGGCTTTCAAGACAGCTGAGAGTTCTGTGCTCCATCCTCTGGTTTCATCGTTGCTCTTTGAGGTGTTGGATGTATAATTTCAGTGGTGAGCTGTTGCCAGATGATATTTTAATTAGAGATGAAATGCAGATATTCTATATTTTCATTAGTGTCTCAGGATTTAACTTTAGGTATCTTAAAGGCAGGAGATTTTGACTAGAAATGGTGGAAGAATTTTGTAAAACTCTGCAGGTCCGAGGAATATCATTGAGAATGGAGGGAGTCACGTGGAAATTGCAGCAAACAGAATGGCTGATAGACAGAATGGTGTCACAAGAACCTGCTCATGTTTTTCCCTAGACAATGCTATTTAAGAGCCAGTCTCCATAATGTTTTGTGATAACTTCCTAAAAAATATAGACTGGGCATATATTACATTTTTGGCTCATGGTTTCAGAGCTTTCAGTCTATTACTTTGGGCCTCCTACATCAAGACAGGAACACTAGTAGAAGAGCTGCTTACCTTGTGGCAACCAGGAAGCAAAGGGAGAGAAGGGACTGGGGTCTCAAGGACATGCTCCTAATGACCTAACTTCCTTCCACTAAGCCCCACCTCTTAAAGGTTCCACCTTTTCCCAGTAGTACCACAGGTTAACTTATAGGTCTTTAGGGGACATTTAAGATCCAAATCATAACACTACATCTCTTAAGAGGAGAGAAGCACAAGTCAACTACTAGGAAGTAAATACTAAGAATTTAAAATGTACATTCAAAAATATTGCTGGTCTCAATCTTGAACTAAAATTGATTTTCATGCATGTCGGGATGGACTACTGTGTATAACCATAAAGATCTAATAAAAAAAATGTGAAGGAAAAAATATGATGGTCTCTGATTTCCGTGATGCTATTACTGAATCATGGAAGACCCTATAGCATTGGGCTGTTTCAGTGGAGATGGAAAGAGTGTGCATGCCTTGGGAGACAATGGACAGACAGACTGAAGTGTGTCTCATCCTCCTGACCCAGTGATCACATGTATGTGTGCATGCATGCACACCTGTGTTCAACACAGGGTGTTTCTTGATGAAATGAGGTTATGGTACCAATATACAGAAGACAAATACTGAAGTTTTGTCCTAGAGGGGACACCAAGATCAAATATAACAATTCATGTCAAGAAAAAGCCAGCTAACAGAGGGCAGTAGCTGTGGCACAAAGCAAAAGGACAGGAATTGTACTAATATGAGCCACTTGCCCACTGCTACAGGCTGGCCAGGCCCCAGAGCTGCAGATTACCTGCAGTACTCCATTTCTTCCTCTAGCAAGTGAGAGGTGAGGAAACTTCTGGTGAGCAGCTCCTATTCCCTGGCCTGAGTTCATGACCATGTGAGAAGAGAGAAAGCAGCATGAAAGCACAGTCAGGAGCTCACAGCACCAAGCTGGAAACTGAGCCTGTAACACGTGAGCCTTTGCAGGACAATTAAGATCCGAACTATTGGCATCTGTGGAGGCAGCTTGCATCAGTCACTCCCAGGCACAGAGATAGAGAGAGTGCGGAGCGGATTAGAGGGCAAACAGAAGACCCCTTGCACAAGCATCTCAGAAAATAGTAGACCTGCTCATCAGAAAAATGCCCAAACATGCAACATGTGGTGTATATTTCCAAGGTGTTTATACACTCCTTTCAGCCAATCTCTGGACCTCAGTGTAAGAGTCTCCGATTTAGATTGATGGGAATATTTTTTTTTCTAGATAAAAAGCCTTGGGTTTGTGCTGTCTTTTATGTCTGTAACAGCTGAATGAACAAATGTCTGCACACGGGCAACCAGGTCTGCTCTACAGTGAACGGATGTTTCTTTTCTTGTTTCTATATAACAAAGGAATAAATAAACCCAGACGAAGAAAGGATCAGGGGAAGTAGAATACAACACTATGCTATTTTAAGGGAATGTTTTAAATGATGGCTATCTGAAGGAAATTTTGTGTCTGGGATGTACAAAGTAAATAAAGCTAGCCATGGGAATAAAAGGAAAGATGTTCAACCACGAACATTTCCCTCTATTTGGTTTCCTGAAGGAAAGGTAAATGTGTGGCAGAAAATTGTGAGGATCTTGACTTAAATACTTGATTGCCTTTTCCCATAAATGCTTTTAAAGCTCTCTGGCTCCTTAAATGATTGACACTAGATTCAAGAAGAAGACTTGTCTAACCCTTGACTTTTGTTTTGCATTCATCTAAATAATGAAGTCATTCAGGGTCTTGGATCCAACCATGTGCCATATTACTTAAGATGGTAAAAATGGCTGACTTTGCTCAAAAAGAAGCTAGAGGCCATTGGACCTTGGACAGTTTGGAATTATCTGAGAATTTGCCAAACATCATTAACATTTTTTAGCATCACATGATAAAGTAAATTCAGTTAAATGTTACATCTTTACACCACCTGTTTGGTGGTAGTAAAGAAGGAAGGGGTAAGGGATGATGAAGAGGATGTTTCTTCTGTGTTTCAGCTTCATTATTAAGGTGGTAGTCCATGGAGTGTTTAGCTAGGCTGAGATGCCTGTTCTCCTTCTTAAAAATGATGGTTGGGGTTGTCCTGAGAGTTTGAGATGAAAATCTCGTTCCTTAAGAAAAAAAAATTGTTTTTTTCTATTGTTGAAGCACACTAGTGTTTGGTTCTTGAGTAATTACAAACAACTAGAGCCCTACATTTCCCAGTTCTTTGTCAGTCTCCTGGCTCCAAGATGGAACCCACTGGATCTAAATCCCTAAAAGACCCCACCTGGTGGATATGTTAGTCTGGCTTAAAATTGATGGGTGACAGCTCTCACACCAGTGGCTCCTGCCTGTAATAATGGCCTGCATGATACGTTAGATCCAAGCTCTTCTGTGAAATATAGCTAAGAACCAGGTTGAACACCCCTGAAGCAATTTCCCTTTGACCTATAGTCACCTATGCCTTTCCACTTTCCCAGGAAGTTGGGCAAGAGTACAGGTGAGAAACACCCATCTAGAATTCTTTAAATTTCTTTCTAAAGATTTGGAATTGTCAGAAACTTCCAACTCAATTTCATTTCTGCCTTTCACCTTTCCCTCCTATCCCTCTGTCATGAGAATATTTTTGTTTTCCATGAAGATCCTGTCTCCAGTGATTCTTGGATAGAAAACAGAACCAGGGAGTTACCGTAAATCACTTTCCTTGGTTACTGACAGTGAATCAGACAGAGGAGGTCATTGGTTTTGAGAAGAAGAGGGAGGATGTATCTACTCCCCCTCTGTGTCCTTCCCTAACACCTCATTGCTCCTGAGGATTGGCTTGCCTTCATTCTCATCACAAAAGAGGTATGGCCTTATTCCAGGCATCCTTTTTATGGAGCAGGTGGCAGCCCACAGGGAGGAGTATTTCACTCTCCTGAGAGATGAACCATTGCAACATATCCCAGGAGTAGTATGCCGTTTTTATAAGAATCCAAAGAGGTTAAGGAAAAGAATGGGAAAATAAGGAAGTCCTTGCTGAAAATAATGGAGCTTTTGTCAAAAGAGGGAATTGAGGCTTAGAAAGTTACTGCCTGAAATATTTAGCTCTGAAAGAAAGAGCAACACTTGTGAGTTGAGTAACATCTCTCTTTATTAAAAAGTTATAAAGTCTGGCAGTAGAACTACCAGTAAAAGTTCAGTTTCCTTCCTTCCTTCCTTCCTTCCTTCCTTCCTTCCTTCCTTCCTTCCTTCCTTCCTTCCTTCCTTCCTTCCTTCCTTCTTTCCTTCCTTTCTTCCTTTATATATTATTTTGGCTTGCTATGTTCTTTTAGCAGTTTGCATCTGGACTATTAAATTAAGAGTTCTTACAGGGGAAATACTGCATTAGCAATCAAAACTACTTGCTAAAGTAGTTATTTAAATATAAATACATATACTATATACATATATGTATTTAAATGTATATTATATATGCACACTGTGCTGTATATGAGTATATTTTTGTCATTCTGTTCTTCCCATTAGCTGCGTTAGACAAGAAGGATGGCTATGCTTGATGTCTTTCCCCTAAGGGACAGTAAAGAAGAGACTGGTTGCAACTTAGGACCTCCCTTCTCTCTCAGCTTGGCCCCATAGCTGAGCACCAAAACTAGATTCCAATGCAGGAATGTTACCTTTAGTCTTTCTGCTGTGCTCCTGTTTTGTGTTACTCAGGGGACAATGTCAGGCAGGGATGATTCACTTTGA